ATGTAGCCCATTTGGTGTAACAAAAGCCGATATCTCTTAATGCTATTAGCACTTACTAGTCCTACTTCAATAAATCAACCTTAGCAAGGAATGAAGGATTACCAACCCTGTCGATGCAATCTTCCACCTGTATAAAGGTCAACATTCCATTTGCCTGCCCTGTTACCCACTGAACTTGGATATCAACATTTTGTGATTCCCATATGAGAACCCCCAAATCCCTTTGTGGGCTTCTGCAGTCTTTCTCCATTTAAATACCACCCAGCTTTTCTATTCTTCGTGCCAAAGTGCAGAACCTCAAATTTTCCCACATTATATTCAATCTGCCAAGTTTTTGCCCACTCACTAAACATGTCTATATTCCTCTGTAGACTCTGTGTGTCAATATTTCCTGTCTATTTTTATGCCTCTGCAGACTTGGCAATAGTACATTTACTTCTGTCATCCAGATCATTAAGACATACTGTAAATAATTGTGGCCTTTGCATTAATCCCTTTGGCATTCCACTAGTTACAGGTAACCATCTTGAAAATGCCCCTCTGCCTTCTAATAGTTAGCCAATCCTCTATCCATGATAATATACTACTCCTGACCACATGGGATCTTATTAGATGGCCTAATGTGTAGTACCTTAGTGTATGGAAAACTGGTTACATTTTATCTAATGTGCACGTTACTTCCACAAAGAAATCTAATAAATGTGTCAGGCATGATTTTCTGGAATTTCCTAAGTAGTCTTACTAAGTCTTCCTGTGGTTCTTCATCTAAGTATGAGAATAGCATGTCTAACCATCCCGGTATTTCAGTACTGGCTGATGAGATTGTAAGTGGTTCGCTTTCTGATCTGTCTATCTTACGCTTACTGTCTCTGTCATCCTCCACTAATTCTACCACCTTCTTATATCCTTCTTATATATATTCAAGTTTGAGTTAGATTTTTGTCTGACAAAGGAATCAAGGATTAGGGGGTATAGGCAAGGAAGTGAAGATCAGCCATGATTTTATTCAGTGGTAGAGCAGGCTTAAAAGGCCAAATGGCCTGCTCCTGTTCCTAATTTGTTATGATCTTATGAACTTATGAATGGCTCATGTAGCTATTTTAAGAATCACCTATATTGCTGTTGACCTGAGGCCACACATAGGCTGGAAGGGCTAAGGGCAACATTTTTCCCTCCATCGAGGAAGGTTAGTGAATTAAGATAGCGGCGATCGGTAACTTTGTGGTCATCATGACTGAGATAAGTTTTGTTTATTCCAGAATTTTAAGAACCATTGAATTTAGATTCCCCAGCTGTTGTGTGGGGGTTTGAATTCAGAGCCACAGTTTCAGAGGTACAAAGTAGGTCCCATGCTGGGGGACAGTGGGCATGCTGGAGGGCAGTGGGCATACTGCCACAGCCAAGGAACAGGCTGTGCTGGGCCTACTGTTGAACAAAGGATGGCAGCCCCACGTATGGCAGTTGGGAAATTGGCAGTGATGAGGGGAAAATGGTGGCTAATTGGCATAGATATTTTTAATCAACCTGTTCAGATGTGGGTCTTGAATTCAGGCCTCCTGGATCAGAGGTAGAAACACTACCACTGTGTCACAATAGTTCCTATTGGCAATTGGTGTATCAATAATGTTGTTGACAGCCTGCCTTCAGTCACTGCTGTTGCTGGCACTGGAGATAGCCCCCAGGGCACATAACTATGTCGGGCTTTTGTTGTGTCGCTATTTTCCTGATGTCCTGCCTCTGAGCCCTTTTCCGACAGCCTGGCAAAATCCCAGTCTGCATCTCTCGATTGGTCTCCTGTCTCTTGTGTTACTAATCCACTAATATCACAGACGTGCTACCAAAACACGACCCGTCAAATTTTAAAATTCAACTACTGTTTGTAATCATTGTACAATTTGTGATTTACAAGCATCAACATCTTGACTGGTTTAATCTCATGTGTCACAAATCTGCTCAAACCTTTTCACACTCCAGATCGTGACCTGCTGAGTTTATTGCCTTTAGAATGTTTCCCAGCCCTTTAGCGAGACAACAGTTATGTTCAATATGGTCCAGTGGATTAAAACACTCACTTCAGTAAATTCTCTTGTCTCCAATTACCACTTGAAAATTTCTTTAAAATCACCAACATGTTTCCAGCTCATTACAGTAAATGTAAAGAAAAATAACTCAGTGCATATTGCACAGTGCGGCTCTAGTTTTGTGTATAATCCTGTGCATTCCATGACCACTGGTACCTTCAAATAAATAAACAGAGGAGATACGAGATTTGGAGATCAGTTAGCTCAACTGGCTGGATGGCTAGATGTGGGGGTTCAACCCACCGTACTAGCTGGTCCCAGAGTGTTAATGTGAAATGAGACACAATTAGCATCACTTGGAATGGGCAGATAGATGGCAGATGAGGTTTAATACAGAGAGTTTTAAGGCAATGCATTTTGGTAGGAGCAACACCGAAAACTGTATAAAATAAGGGATGAAGGAGCAGGTGAACGTGGGTGTACATGCACACAGATCATTGAAGGTGACAGGATGGGTGGAGAGAAAAGCAGACAGTGTCCTTGGTTTAACAAACAGGGGCATGGAGTACAAAACCAAGGAGGTGAAGTTGAACTTGTATGAGACACTAATTTGATCTCAGCTTGAGTATTGTGCACATTGTAGATGGTATGCAAATATATTCCAAGAATGGCTCTAGGCATGAGAAACTTCAGTTATGAGAATAGATTGAAGAAGTTAGGTCAGTATTAGACAAATACATGAATAAGAAATGTTTGGAGGCATATGGGCCAAGCGCAGACAGGTGGGACTAGTTTAGTTTGGGATTATGGTCGGCATGGACTGGTTGGACCAAAGGGTCTGTTTCCATGATGTATGACTGTATAAGTTGGAACTGTGCACCTTGGAGAGAAGAAGGCCAAGAAGTGTTCTGATAAAGGTTTCCAAATTTCGGGATCAGGCTGGATAGTGTAGACAGGGAGAAACTGTTTCCCGCTCGTAAAAGAAATAAGGACAAGAAGGCGTAGATTTAAAATGATTAGCACAAGATGCAAGGATGGTATGAGGAAAAGAAACTTTCTCACTCACTGACTAGGTAGAGTATGGAATGCACTGCTAAGAAGCAGGTTTAACTGAGTCATTCAAGAGGGCATTGGGCGATTATTTGGTTAAAAATAAAGTGCAAGGATATAGAGGAAAATGCAGGAGATTGGTACTGGGTAATGATGCTCATTGGAAGAGCCAGCGCAGGCATGACAAGCTGAATGGCCTGTTTCGGTACTGTAAGATGTCTGTGATTCTGTGATCATTCCTCTACCTGAGAACCCAAGCTCTCAGCAGTAATAACATATTAGGAAACTTCGTCACAGTGTTTACTAACACAAACTTATTAATCTCACAGCAGGACTGGTAAACTGACGTCGGTTCTGTTTATGTAAAGATCTGTTACAGCTGAGCTCAGCAGACAGGTTTACCACTGAGGTTCAGCCAGTATCATTACAGGAAAGCAAAGCTCCACTCCCGCACGCTACATGCTGCAAACAATCACTGCTTGTTGCATGCTCTACATCCCAGTCACTTGCCCATTAGCATGTTTCCTCTCAAGATTATATCACAACACTCATCTTCCCTCGAATTCTTCAATTAATTAGTTCAATTCCATATCCGTGGGTTATATACCCCTCTGCTAAGGTGAATAGGTCATCCATGTATACACTATGTAGAAAGTCATAATTTTACACATCTCAATAAAGGCACCCCTCAGCCTCTTCTGTTTGAAGGCGATCAACTCCTGACTATTCAATCTTTCCTCATCACTAAAACCTATCAAAACCCTTGTATATCTCCCAACCTGTAACCTCCTTAGTGAAGGTGCTCTGAGCAGTTGATGGTTGCCAGTGGCTGTGCAATTTGAAAGAGCTCAGCACGGTGGCTCAGTGGTTAGCACTGTTGCCTCACAGCAGGGACCCAGGTCCGATTCCACCCACGGGCGACTGTCTGTGTGGAGTTTGCACATTCTCCTTGTGTCTGTGTGGATTTCCTCCGGGTGCTCTGGTTTCCTCCCACAGTCCAAAGATGTGCAGGCTAGGTGGATTGGCCATGCTAAATTGGCTGTAGTGTCCAGGGATGTGTAGTTTAGGTGGGTTATACAGGGATAGGTCTGGGTGGGAATCACCTTTGGGTGGGATGCTCCAGGGGTCAGTGTGGACTTGTTGGGCCGATGGGCCTGTTTCCACACTGTAAGGATTCTATGAAATGACCAGAATGTAGCTACAGGCAAGGTTGGACAGATGAGGTGCTGCCATGCACTGATGTCTTAGCTTTGCTTACAGAGTTGGGAACCATGACAACAATATTGACCAAGGCTTTTCAAATCAGATTGAATCCCCAAAGGCAGGTCAAAATAGAAGGTATTCAAGAATAGAATAGTCAGTTACAACCATGAAACATTGAAAGAACAGAAACCACAAGGATGAGAAAAAAAAACATATATATGTCAATCAAACACCAAATACTAGAGATAAAAGATTAAAAACTGGCAAAATAATGAACATTGCCCAGAACATTACACTCATGGCATTCTGTTTCTGAGTGCTGAGATTAGTAGATCATTTCCAGTAGATCATTAATAGATCATAAGTAGATCATTTCTCATCATACACATTCCTACACTTCTATAAGTATAAAGTCATTGTAATAGTTTATCAACAATGTTCCACAGGAGGTCAGAATTGGAGGAATGCGGAGATGTTGGAGGATTGTGGAGCTGAAGGAAGTTGGAGAGATAAGAATGGGTAGCATTCTCACTGGATAATGCAGTAACTGAGGCAACATCTATTCCCTGGAGTGCACAGTCTGGATCCCTCTTGGTGAGGAAGGGTAAGGGGTGAAAGTGAAATAAATTATCACTGCAAACTCACAGTCACAACAATCACCTTTGTAACATGGCCATCGCTGCAATTTCCAAAGTTGAAAGTTGTCAGTTGCAACACTTTGCTTACCTCTACCTTGTAGATATTAGATGGATGGTCTCTCTGTCCACAGGCCTCAGTTACTGTCTTACAGCAGCTGTCTGGTACCAGTCTGTTACCTGACATGGGGGAGAGGATGTAAGCACTGTGCTGCCAGTCAGCGGAACTATTGCTGCCGCAGCACTTGAACTGTAAGAACACAAGAATACAAAAAAGTAAGAACGAGGAGCACAAGCAGGCCATTCAACCCATCGAGCCTGCTTCATTATTTTATATGATCATGGCTGATCTCATCTCAGCCTCAACTCCACTTTCCTGCCCGGGCTCCATAAACCTTTGACCCTTTACTAATTAAAAATCTGTCTATCTCCTATGGCCGAGCAAGTCACTGAGTTCAAGGACAATTGGCGATGGGCAAGAAGTACTGGCTTTTGGGCTTAGTTCGATAACAGGAAAATCCAAATCTTTGTTCTTGTCTCTCCAGGCAGGGAAAAAGCCGTTCAACAGTAACTTGGTGCCATTATTTAAAATAGGTGGTAAAGAAAAGCCAAAGAATTGTAGACTCATGACCTTGACATCAGCGGTGGGTAAATTGTTGGAGGGGATTCTGAGGGCCAGGATTTACATGTATTTGGAAAGGCAAGGTCTGATTAGGGATAGTCAACATGGCTATGTGCATAGGAAATCATGCCTCACTAACTTGATTGAGTTTTTTGAAGAAGGGACAAAGAAAATTGATGAAGGCAACACGGTGGATATTGTTTAAATGGACTTCAGTAAGGCATTCGACAAGGTTCCACATGGTAGACTGGTTAGCAAGGTTAGATCACATGGAATACAGGGAGAACTAGCCATTTGGATACAGAACTGGCTTGAAGGTAGAAGACAGAGGGTAGTGGTGGAGGGTTGCTTTTAGACTGGAGGCCTGTGACCAGTGGTGTGCCACAAGGATTAGTGCTGGGTCCACTGCTTTTCCTCATTTATGTAAGTGGTTTGGATGTGAATGTAGGAGGTATGGTAAGTTTGCAGATGACACCAAAATTGGAGGTGTCGTGGACAGTGAAGAAGGCGATCCCAGAGTACAATGGGATCGGATGGACAAATGGGCTGATGAGTGGCAGATGGAGTTTAATTTAGACAAATGTGAGGTGCTGCATTTTGGAAAGGCAAATCAGGGCAGGACTTATACACTTAATGGTATGGTCCTGGGGAGTGTTGTCGAACAAAGAGACCTTGGGATGCAGGTTCATAGTTCATTGAAAGCGGAGTTGCACATAGACATGATAATGAAGGTGGTGTTTGGTACACTTGCCTTTATTGGTCATTGCATTGGGTATAGGAATTGAGAGGTCATGTTGCGGCTGTACAGGACATTAGTTAGGCCACTTTTGCAATACTGCGTACAATTCTGGTTTCCCTTCAAAGCTTTCGAGAAGATTTGTAGCTCAGGTTGTGGAAGCGGTTTCAGACTTGCTCACCAAGCTGGTGTGTTTGTTTGCAGAGGTTTCATCACCCTGCTAGGTAACATCATCAGTGCCCCTCTGGTGAAGTGTTGTTGTTCTGTCCCGCTTATTATTTATATGCCTCGGTTGCTGGGGTGGTTGGTATCACTCCGGTTCTGTTTCTCAGTGGCTTATATATCGGGTCTAGTTCAATGTGTTTGTTAATGGAGTTCCAGTTGGAATGCCAGGCCTCCAGGAATTCCCTGGCATGTCTCTGTTTAGCTTGTGCTATTATGGATGTGTTGTCCCAGTCAAATTCGTGTCCTTCTTTGTCTGTGTGTATCGAGACCAGTGAGAATTGGTCGTGTCTCTTGGTGGCTAGTTGGTGTTCGCGTATCCTTTATTGTCAGTTTTCTTCCAGCTTAGCCTATGTAAAGTTTCTCACAGTCCTTGCACAGTATTTTGTATATTATGTTAGTTTTATTGGTTGTGGGTATGCGGTCCTTTAAGTTCATCAGTAGAATGGACCCCCTGCTATAGAAAGGATGTTGTGAAACATTAAAGGGTTCAAAAAAGATTTACAATGATGTTGCCAGGGTTGGAGGGTTTGAGTTATTGTGAGAGGCTGAATACACGGGGGCTAATTTTCCTGAAGCGTCAGAGGCTGAAGGGTGACCTTATAGATGTTTATAAAATCATGTGAGGCATCGATAGGGTGAATAGCCAAGGTCTTTTCCCCAGGGTGAGGGAATCCAAAACTAGAGGGCGTAGGTTTGAGGTGACAGGGGAAAGATTTAAAAGGAACCTAAGGGGCAACTTTTTCATACAGAGAGTGGTGTGTGTATGGAATTAGCTGCCAGAGGAAAGTGGAGGAGGCTGGTACAATTACAACATTTAAAAGGCATCTGGAAGGGTACATGAATAGGAAGGGTTTACAGGGATATGGGCCAAATGGTAGCAAATGGGACTAGATTAATTTAGGATATCTGGTCGGCATGGACAAGTTGGACTGAAGGGTCTGTTTCTGTGCTGTACAGCTCTATGACTTTATCAGTAAGCATAGGGGTAGCGTAGTGGGAATAATGCCAGAGCAGCTATTGAGACACCCAGACTAATGTTCTAAGGAAAAAGTCAAAAAAACTGCAGATGCTGGAAATCAGAAACATAAACAGAAATTGCTGGAAAATCTGAAGGAGGGTCACTGGACTCTAAAACGTTAATTCTCTAAGGGCATGGGTTCAAATCAAACTGTAGAAGGTAGAATTTTTAAAAATTAAAATGTGGAATTGAAAGCTTGGCTCAGCACATGGAGACTATAAAACTATCATCAATTTTTGTAAAAATGCAGCTGGTTCACTAATGTCCTCTGGGGAAAGAAATCCTCTGACCTCATCTTCTCTGACCTACATGTAACTCCAAACCCACCGCAATGTGGTTGACTGTTAACTGCCAAAATGGCTGTACAACCTGTCAGCCCCACATACTCCACACAAATGCCAGGCGAAAACCATCTCCTATAAGAGACATTTTTCTGAATGAGGGTCTAGGCCTGAAACGTCGGCTTTCTTGCTCCTCTGATGCTGATTGGCCTGCTGTGTTTCTCCAGCTCTACACCTTGTTATCCTATAAGAGACAATCTAACCATCACCCCTTCACATTCAGTGGTGTTACCATCACTGAATCCCCCATCATCACCATCCTGGAGGTTACCATTGACCCGAAACTCAACTGGAATTGTCACATAAACAGAGCGACTACAAGAGCAGGTCAGGGGCTAGGAATACTGCAGTAAATAACTCACCTCCTGACACCCCAAAGCCTGTCCACCACCTACAAGGCACAGGTTGGAAGTGTGATGGAATACTCCTCACTTGTCTGGATGAATATAGCTCCAACAACACTCAAGAAGCTTGACACTATCCAGGACAAAGCAGCCCGCTTGATTGGTACCACATCCGCAGACATCCACTCCCTCCACCACCGCAGCAGTGTATACTATCTACAAGGCGCATTGCAGAAATTCACCAAATATCCTTAGGCATTATCTTCCAAACTCTCAATCATTTCCATCTAGAAGGGGAAGGGCAGCAGATATATACGTACACCACGACCTGCAAGTTCCCCTCCAAGCCACTCTCTATCCTGATTTGGATCCTGACACTGTCCCTTCACTGTCACTGGGTCAAATCCTGGAATTCCCTCTCTAATGGCATTATGGATCAACCTACAACAGGTGGGCTGCAGCGGTTCAAGAAGGCAGCTCACCACCACCTTCTCAAGGGCAACTCGGGACAGACATTAAATATTGGCCAGGCAATGATGCCCACATCCCATGAGTGAATTTAAAAAGGTAGAGGTGAGCAGCAGATGTTGGCCTTGCCAGTGATGCCCACATCCAATGAATATTAAAGGTACCATATAAATGTGAGTTGTTGTTGTTAACCTTCTGAGCCCCATATTGGGCTGCAGTTGAAACAAAATGCAGAACTCTTCTCATCAAAATAGAAAATAGGCCTTTTGTTCAAAATAAATAATGTTATGTTTTCCGAAACCAAGAAGAAAAGCCTGCATTTAGACGGTGCTTTTAAATGTTTCAAGGCATTTTATAGGTCAATGAAATATTTTGTGACTGGGCTATTGAACTGCATGAGATGCAGCAGCCAATTTGCACACAGGAAGCTCCCACAAACAAAAATGTAGAACACCATTGCCTGCAGGTTCCTCGTCAAGCCATTCACCATCCTGACTTGGAAATATATCGCCATTCCTTCAGTGTCATAGAGTTATATAGCACAGAAACCCAACTCAGGGAGTCACGGTGGCTCAGTGGTTAGCACTGCTGCCTCACAGTGCCAGGAACCCGGGTTCAATTCCACCCGCGGGTGACTGTCTGTGTGGAGTTTGCACATTCTCCCTGTGTCTGCGTGGGTTTCCTCCGGTTTCCTCCCACAATCCAAAGATGTGCAGGATAGGTGGACTGGCCATGCTAAATTGCCCATGTTGTCCGGGGATGTGTAGGTTGGGTGGATTAACCATGGGAAATGCATGGTTATAGGTACAGGGGTGAGTTTGGGTGGGATGCTCTTCAGAGAGTCGGTGTACACTTGTTGGCCAAATAGAACAGTACAGGCCCTTCAGCCCACGATGTTGTGCTGAGCTTTTACCCTAATCCTAAGGTCTATCTAACCTCCACCCCTACCTTATACTATCATCCACATGCCTATCTAATAGCCGCTTAAATGCCCCTAATGAGGCCGACTCCACTACCCTCTCCGGCAATGCATTCCACGCCCCCTACCACTCTCTGAGTAAAGAACCTACCTCTGACGTCGTCCCTATATCTACCTCCACTCACTTTAAAACTATGCCCCCTCGTAATAGCTACCTCCACCCTAGGAAAAAGTCTCTGGCTATCCACTCTACCGATATCTCTGATCATTTTGTACACCTCTATCAAGTCACCTCTCATCCTTCGACGTTCTAAAGAGAAAAGCCCTGCCTCTCTCAACGTTTCTTCATAAGACCTTCCCTCCATTCCAGGCAACATCCTGGTAAATCTACTCTGCACCTTTTCCAACGCTTCCGCATCTTTCCTGTAATGAGGCGACCAGAACTGGACACAATACTCCAGATGTGGCCGAACCAGGCTTTTGTATAGCTGGAGCCTAACTTCACGGCTCTTGAACGCAATCCCTCTATTAATGAAAGCTAACACACCATACGCCTTCTTAACAACTCTATCCACCTGGGTGGCAGCTTTCAGAATAGTCTGCGTCCACACTTCTAGGGATTCTGTGAACTTGTCTGCACTGACCAGATATCCTAAACTGATCTAGTCCCATTTGCCGGCATTTGGCCTATATCCCTCTAAACCCTTCCTACTCATATACCCATCCAGGTGTCTTTTAAATGTTGTAATTGTACCAGCATCCACCAGTTCCTCTGGCAGCTCATTCCATACACGCACCACCCTCTGCATGAAAAAGTTGCCCCATAGGTCCCTTTTAAATCTTTCCCCTCTCACCTTAAATCTCTGCCCTCTAGTTTCGGACTCCCCCATCCTGGGGAAAACACCTCGGTTATTCACTCTATCCATGCCTCTCATGATTTTATAAACATCTATAAGGTCACCCCTCAGCCTCTGACGCTCCAGGGAAAATAGCCCCAGCCTATTCAGCCTCTCCCTATAGCTCAAACCCTCCAACCCTGGTAACATCCTTGTAAATCTTTTCTGAATCCTTTCAGGTTTATCAACATCTTTCCTTTATGAGGGAGACTAGAACTGAATGCAGTATCCTAAAAGTGGTCTCACCAATGTCCTGTACAGCCGCAACATGATGGCATAACTCCTCTACTCAATGCACTGACCAATGAAGGCACACATGCCAAACGCCTTCTTCATCACCCTGTCTACCTGCGACTCCACTTTCAAAGAACTATGCACCTGCACCCCTAAGTCCCTTTGTTCAGCAACACTCCCCATGGCCTTACCATTTCCTGTACAAGTCCTGCCCTGATTTGCCTTTCCAAAATGCAACACCTCCCATTTATCTAAATTAAACTCCACCTGCCACTCCTCGGCCCATCGGCCCATCTGATCAAGATCCCGTTGTACTCGGAGGTAACCTTCTTCGCTGTCCACTACACCTCCAATTTTGGTGTCATCTGCAAACGTACTAGCGTAATCGTGGAACTCCCTTTCTGACAGCATTATGAGACTAACTGTTGCACAGGGACTGCAGCAGTTCAAGAAGGCAGCTCACCACCATCTTCTCAAGAACAACTAGTGATGGGGAACAAATACTGGCTGAGCCAGCGACATTCACATCCACGAGTATGAAAAATGACTAGATAATATGTTTTTTTGTGTAGTGATTGATTGATTGATTGAGAAATGCATTCTTAACTAACATCTCTGCTAACAGCAATAATCTTCTTAGTAATCAATTACAGATCAAATATGAGCCATTTAAACACCACAGGCCCCCTCCCAGAAGGAAAGCCCTCAAAGGTTAATTCCGTACATCTTGCTGGAGTTGGTCGATGGAATAGGTAACACCTTCCTCCCCAGGCTGTGCGTAATTCTCCATCATTGTCTTGTTCAGACTTTGCTTCAGTTCATCACTTAACTGTACACAAACAACAACAAAAAAAATGTGGTGGCAGTTAGAATGCGTGAATGATATAGGAGGCCATTCAGCCTATTGTGCCCCCTACTGGTCCTTTGAAAGAACTCTCAGAATATTGCTACCTCCTCCTCGTTCCCCATCAAACTACGCGTTGAACTTTCCCCATAGCTGTGTAATCTCTTCCCTTCAAGCACTTTTTTGATTACCTTTTCAAACTTACCATTGACTCTGCTTCTACCAGCCTGTCATGTATCGCACTCATCTCACCTTCAATTTTCTTCAACATTCACCTGAAACCTGTGTCCTCTCATTATAAACCCTACTGTGACAGGAAACATTTTCTCCCTCTTCACTCAATACAAACCCTTCATAATTTTGAACCCCTCTGCTAAATGTCCCCCTAGCCTCCCTTCTATAAGTAGAACAACCAGAGCCTCTCCAGTCTCCCCATCTTACAGACATCTACCTTTCCAGATACCATCCCAGTAACACTGCACTGGGATGAACCTTTCTTTGACTATATGCAATTTGTGCTGTAAGCCAGCAATCTGACAGAATGTATATTCAGGGCACGCACAGTTCCAAAGGGATGTCAAATTTGGTGGTTCCGAAATCCTGCCTAAAAATAAGACTGGGGCTAGTTGCAAGTTTTCATTAGGACAGTGCAAAGACCGCTGATGAGGAGTTTATTAATAACAGGCAGTGGAGAAATCACTGAGTACATAGAACATAGAACAGGACAGCACAGTACAGGCCCTTCGGCCCACGATGTTGTGCCGAACTTCTACCCTAAACCTAAGGTCTATCTAACCTCCACCCCTACTTAATACTATCATCCATATGCCTATCTAATAGCCGCTTAAATGCCCCTAATGAGGCCGACTCCACTACCCTCTCCGGCAATGCATTCCACGCCCTGACCACTCTCTGAGTAAAGAACCTACCTCTGACGTCTCCCCTATATCTACCTCCACTCACTTTAAAACTATGCCCGCTCGTAAAAGCTACTTCCACCCTAGGCTGTCCACTTTATCTATACCTCTGATCATTTTGTACACCTCTATCAAATCACCTCTCATCCTTTGTCGTTCTAAAGAGAAAAGCCCTAGATCTCTCAACCTTTCCTCGTAAGACCTTCCCTCCATTCCAGGCAACATCCTGGTAAATCTCCTCTGCACCTTTTCCAACGCTTCCACATCTTTCCTGTAATGAGGCGACCAGAACTGGACACAATACTCCAGATGTGGCCGAACCAGGCTTTTGTATAGCTGGAGCATAACTTCACGGCTCTTGAACTCAATCCCTCTATTAATGAAAGCTAACACACCATACGCCTTCTTATCATAAACATAAAACACAACTGAGTATATGAGAGGGAGAGAGACATAGACTTCCTGTTGACCTGTGCTTTTAGCGATACTGCTCATGGCACTGTATCACTAACATCTAGGGAAAATTGTTGACAAATCTGTTGCAAGTGCCTGGTTCACATTTGCTATTTGACGTGCTCTGTTGGTGATGGATCACAGTCTATCATCCATACTTACCGTATGTTAATTCTGGGTGTTAGAAATAACTTGTACATTAATTGTAGATTGTGTCAGTGTTCTAACTCGTATAGTAAAAAACTTTTAGGAAAGTTCAGCAGGTCTGGCAGTATCTGTGAAGAGAAATCAGGGTTTACGTTTTGGGTCCGGTGACCCTTCCTCAGAACAGGACCTGAAACATTAACTCTGATTTGTCTTCACAGATCCTGCCAGACCTGCTGAGCTTTTCCAGCAACTTCTGATTTTGTTTCTGATTTACAGCATCCGCAGTTCTTTCAGTTTTTACTTAGTAAAAAATTTTGTTGCTTGTTGAAAACCATGGAATCTTGTGGCTTTATTCTCTAAGTCCCCTGGATCTCTCACATTTTCTACTTTGAAAACAAAAGTTACTGATCCGTAACAACCAGATTGTTTTGATTTCCCTACTGAAGAATTAGAATAATTAGATTTTTATTGTCACGTGTAACTGAAGCGTAGGAATACACGAGTACAGTGAAAAGTGTACAAAATCACCATTCTGGTTACAAAACCAGAACCTCAAAAAAGTAGCGGAAATAAAAGAAAACCAAAAGGTAAGAAAAATATCCAGATCTCAAAGTCTATGTCAGAGAAGAAAAGACACACTTGTCAATGTGGGAATGCAACAGAGATTCACTTGGCTGATACTGGGGAAGGCTGCACAGTCCCTTGAGGACAGATTGGTTCAACTGGGCCTGTTTCTACTAGAGTTTAGAAGAATGTGAGGGGATGTGATTGAAACGTATAAAATTCTAACAGAGTTGGATAGACTAGATGCAGGGAGGATGTTTTCCCCTAGTGCCAGGATATAGTGTAGGCCATCTAGAACTGAGATGAGGAAACATTTCTTCACCCAGAGGGTGGTCACCCTATAGAAGCCTGTGCAGATCAGAACACTGAGTATATTCAAGAAAGATATTAATAACTTTTTAAACATTGATCACATCAAGGTGTCTGGAGAGAAAACAGGACAATGGCATTGGGATAGATGATCAGCCATGGTAATATTGAAAGGCAGAGCAGGCTCAATGTGTTAAATAGCCGACTCCTGCTGCTAGCTTCTATGTTTCTCTGTAACACAATTTGGTGTTATGGTCTGCAATTGCAACATGCATCCATTCTAAGGCCGTGACATCTCTCCTGATATGTGGTGCCCAAAATCAAGTGCAATACTACAACTGTGGCCTTACATATGTTTCATAAAGATTTAGCATGACCTCCTTGCTTTTGTACGCTATGGCTCAATTGATAAAGCCAACATCTACAATATCCTTTTAAACAAACTTCTCAAATTGGCCTACCACCTTCAAAGATTTATGTGTCTGAGCTATCAGGGCTCTCTGTTTCTGTGCAACTTATTTCCAATCTGAAAAATAATTCTTCTTTCTCTCCCTGAGCTAAGATTGTATTCCACTATCCTTTAAAACTAGGGGCATTAATTTTCTGCGAGATGGAAGGTTCTGCTGTAATGGTAATGTCACTGGAGTATTAGTCTGGCTATAAATGCAGAAAGTGCTGGAGAAACACAGCAGCCATGACTGAATCTGTGGTAAAATCCCATCTGCTAATGCCACTACTTTATTACTGACATTGGAAATATCCCATTTTTACCCACTCTGACCGATATGCATTGTGATCAATTCTTTGCTGCCCTCTGCAATAGCCTAGCAAACCATTCAGTCCCAGAGCAATTAGGAATGGGCAACAATTGCTGACCTTGCCAGTGCCACGTCCACATGCCATGCCAAATGCTATTGAAAGTCCATACTCACATCACAAGTCACAAGGCACTCATCAAACCTCTCCATTATTTCGCTGACAAATCCAACCGAGATATTTGTACAAGATATCCCTTTAAAATGTTAATTTACTAACCCATTACCTTTACAATTACCAATTAATATTGTTCTGGAATACCATCTCTGAAATTCTGCTAAAAGGTTGTGGTCAGGTGAGCAGCAGGAGAAATGGCTATGACACCGGTTAAGAGCTACAATCAAGCATGCTGGGAAGTTTGGTCGAGCAAGTTTAAACTCTGACCTCGGTTAAAACTGCAACTAGGACATGTTGGGACTTGTCCCATAAGCTGTGACCTGCAGCTTCCTGTGTTAACCAAATAAGGGAGATGTCATAGTTAGACACAAAAACAAAGTTGCTGGAAAAGGTCAGCAAGTCTGGCAGCATATGTGAAGGAAAAAACAGAGTCAATGTTTTGGGAAACATTCTGTTTTTTCCATCACAGATGCTGCCAGACCTGCTGAGCTTTTCCAGCAACTTTGTTTTTGTTCCTGATTTACAGCATCCACAGTTCTTTTGGTTTTTAGTTGTCATAGTTAGACATACTGGCACTATATTACCTTATATGGAGAATGGTATGTGGCTATTTACGACTCAGTATAAACATTTGGGAGTTGTTTACCAGTAAACTCCATTGGTTGAGATTGAACATTGCGATCAAGTTTGGTCAATTCACTGGCTGAGTGCCAGAGAAGTTTCTGGAAGAATTAGCACACTTTGGGATAAGAGTTACCAGCACAAAGGATTTTACAGGACTGACCATGTGAGACCAACATTTGCAAAGTGCCTTGAAGTTATCTTCAGAGCAGACAAAGAACCACAAAACCAGATCGACACTGAGAGCAAAGTTGGTTGCTTCACTTGATTTGGCATTGTACTTGTTTGAAGCCAACTTATAGAGTTAAAGTTTTTAATGTGAATTAAGTAAGATAAAGTGAGGGTAAATGAAGTGGTTAAAGTTGAAATTAAGTTAGATAAAGTAAGAAATAAATATTTTATATTGAGTATTGGTACCTAAAGAGTTAAATAAACAAGGGATAACAAGGTGTAGAGCTGGATGAACACAGCAGGCCAAGCAGCATCAGAGGAGCAGGAAAGCTGGCGTTTCAGGCCTAGACCCTCTTTCAGAAATGGGGGAGGGGAAGGGGGTTCTGAAATAAATAAGGAGAGAAGGGGAGGCGGATAGAAGATGGATAGAGGAGAAGATAGGTGGAGAGGAGACAGACAGGTCAAAGAGGCGGGGATGGAGCCAGTAAAGGTGAGTGTAGGTAGGGAGTTAGGGAGGAGATAGGTCAGTCCAGGGAGGACGGACAGGTCAAGGGGGCGGGATGAGGTTAGTAGGTAGGAGATGGGGGTGGGGCTTGAGGTGGGAGGAGGGGATAGGTGGGAGGAAGGGCAGGTTAGGGAGACGGGGACGAGCTGGGCTGGTTTTGGGATGTGGTAGGGGGAGGGGAGATTTTGAAGCTTGTGAAGTCCACATTGATACCATTGGGCTGCAGGGTTCCCAAGCGGAATATGAGTTGCTGTACCTGCAACCTTCGGGTGGCATCGTTGTGGCACTGCAGGAGGCCCAGGATGGACATGTCGTCTGAGGAACGGGAGGGGGAGTTGAAATGGATCGCGACTGGGAGGTGCAGTTGTTTAGGGCGAACCGAGCGTAGGTGTTCTGCAAAGCGGTCCCCAAGCCTCCGCTTAGTTTCTCCGATGTAGAGGAGGCCACAACGGGGACAGCGGATACAGTATACCACATTAGCAGATGTGCAGGTGAACATCTGCTTGATGTGGAAAGTCTTCTTGGGGCCTGGAATGGGGGTGAGGGGGAGATGTAGGTGCAGGTGTAGCACTTCCTGCGGTTGCAGGGAAAAGTGCCGGGTGTGGTGGGGCTGGAGGGGAGTGTGGAGCGGACAACGGAGCCACGGAGAGAGTGGTCCCTCCGGAAAGCAGATAAGGGTGGGGAGGGAAAGATGTCTTTGGTGGTGGGGTCGGATTGCAGATGGCGGAAGTATCAGAGGATGATGCGTTGAATCCAGAAGTTGGTGAGGTGGTACGTGAGGACGAGGGGGATTCTTTTTTGGTTCTTATTGCGTGGACGGGGTGTGAGGGATGAGTTGCAGGAAATGTGGGAGACACGGTTGAGGGCGTTCTCGACCACTGAGGGGGGGAAGTTGCGGTCCTTGAAAAACGAGGACAACTGAGATGTACGGGAGTGGAATGCCTCATCCTGGGAGCAGATGCGGCGGAGGCGAAGGAATTGGGAATAGGGGATTGCATTTTTGCAGGAAGGTGGGTGGGAGGAGGTGTATTCTAGGTAGCTGTGGGAGTCGGTGGGCTTGAAATGGATATCGGTTTCCAGGTGGTTGCCAGAGATGGAAACAGAAGTCCAGGACGGAGAGCGAGGTAACAGAGATGGTCCAGGTGAACTTAAGGTTGGGGTGGAAGGTGTTGGTGAAGTGGATGAACTGTTCGAGCTCCTCGTGGGAGCACGAGGTGGTGCCGATACAGTCATCAATGTAACAGAGGAAGAGGTGGGGTTTAGGGCCAGTGTAGCTACGGAAGAGGGATTGTTCCACGTAACCTACAAAGAGGCAGGCGTAGCTTGGGCCCATGCGGTTACCCATACCCATTTCAACTCCCCCTCCCGTTCCTCAGACGACATGTCCATCCTGGGCCTCCTGTAGTGCACAATGATGCCACCCGAAGGTTGCAGGAACAGCACCTCGTATTCCGCTTGAGAACCCTGCGGCCCAATGGTATCAATGTGGACTTCACAAGCTTCAAAATCTCCCCTCCTCCTACTGCCTCCTAACCTGCCCTTCCTCCCACCTATCCCCTCCTCCCACCTCAAGCCCCACCCCCATCTCCTACCTACTAACCTCATTCCGCCCCCTTGACCTGTCCGTCCTCCCTGGACTGACCTATCTCCTCCCTAACTCCCCCCCTACACTCACCTTTACTGGCTCCATCCCCACCTCTTTGACCTGTCTGTCTCCTCTCCACCTATCTTCTCCTCTATCCATCTTCTATCCGCCTCCCCCTCTCTCCCTATTTACTTCAGAACCCCCTTCCCCTCCCCCATTTCTGAAGAAGGGTCTAGGCCCGAAACGTCAGCCTTCCTGCTCCTCTGATGCTGCTTGGCCTGCTGTGTTCATCCAGCTCTACACCTTGTCATCTCAGATTCTCTAGCATCTGCAGTTCCTACTATCCCTAAATAAACAAGGATTTGTTTAATTAAGGTGTGAGACGACTCCCTGTCTTTTGTCTGTCACTCAAGTGAAGAACACCTAGGTGAAAGGTTTGAGCACTCTTTTAGATAGCAAGGTCATCGCCCTGAAATGTTAACTCTGTCTGTCTCTCTGTCCACAGATGCTACCAGACCTGCTGAATTTCTCCAGGTTTTTCATTCATATCACCTCGAAAGTTAGGTTTGTATTTGTCCACCTCTTCCCTTTGTAGGGTTGCAACAGTTGTAATCTGGCACCATCCAAATCCTCAATGGAGCGTTGCAGAAATGTCTCCTGTACTTTCCTCCCTTATGTTCCTCAGTAACTGAGGATGTTTTCAATTCGGACCAAGTGACATTTCTACTATGAGCCCTGCCAACATAGCTTCTCTTTTACCTATTTTCATCTCGTCCAATATGGTGCTCTTTTTCTCTGTGATTGGCAGCAGCATCAGCCTCTGAATTAAAGGCAGATGCAAAGTCGTCACATAATACTTTAGGCATTCCCTCTGCCTTCACAAAGATGATCACGTTCATCGGAAACGGCCTCACTCATCCTTTGAGTTTCTAGTTAAAGAGTTACAAAGAAAAAGCATTTTGGAGCTATCAGCCACAATTCTCCATCTAATAGTTACTGTTGTGATGTTCAGATGGCAGAGCTGAACAAGTCTGCAGTGCTACCTCCCTGTACTGAATTCAGGAGCATAGCTTTGCAGATGACTGCTCATATATATCTCTGGAATTCTATCCTCTAATTCTTGTTAATACCTGCAGGGTGGTACCAGTAGCTGCAGTCACGCTACACAAAGGGATGAAGTTAATTTATATTTTGGTGACCCTGCCCATCAGCGAGAGAGTCCGTGTACAACACCCTCCCCCACCATCCCTAGTACCCCACTGCTATTCCAGATGCCCAGATAGGATTGCGCTGCCTGGCCCCCGTAAGGAGCCTGGATCCAAGAGCCACCTACCAATTAATGACTCAGCGGCTCTTCTCCAGTCTCTGCATTGCCACCAGGAGCCATGGCCACTGTTGGGACTACAGGTGGCCAAGAATCAGCTACATCGGTGGGAGCCCAAGAAGAGCCGTGTGTGGTATGAGTGTAACCCAGCATGGGCAGCAAGGGGAGTTGCTGTGCAAGGTCGGAAGGGTCTGCTCTTCCAGGCTCGGGCTATGTGGGCTACATCTGACAGAGGGTGCGGAATAAGCAGGGAGCCACCCCCACTGAAACACATTAGGGAGGACTTCAGATGGCAACATGCCCACATGCCCACAGCCCCCAGTGACCCCCCACCCCTGACCACTGACTGAATACCAGAAGGCGTGGGATGAGATCCTCAACTGACCATTAATCAACAACTTGAGAGCCTCTATTTGCTCCCAGGCAAGAAAGCCAACCTTGATCTAAGGTTCACTCCTGAGTTTGCAATGCGATAGCTGGATGTGCTGGCTAGGATTTTCGAGAATTCCCAAGACTGGGGAATGTTCTTGTCAGATTAGAAGTTGGAAAATGTAACACCATGTTGCATGAACTGAGGGAGAGAAGGAATGAGAACTGCAGGTTAATTTGATTGACATCAGAATGGGGGAAATGCTGCAATCTATTGTCATGAAGGCCCTACAAATTTTAAAAGAAACTTGCTACATGTCGCCTGCTGGCTTCGACTGGGGTTGTAATGGTCCATAGTGCAGCACACGCAAGCTCTAACATATCACTCCACCACTTCCTCCTCACTGAGACATTCCACTCTCCTCATCTTTGAATAAGGTTCATTTTACCAAATCAGATTTAAGCTTACCTGCTGGTAATAAACACAAGCAAGAATCCCAGCCACCAGCTCAGTTAGGAAGATCAGCAGGAGTAGGGAAAAGTACTGAAAAGGTAAAACAGAAAAATTATAACCATAATCTTTTTAGTGAAAACATCGTCTGTATTAAAAGTAGTTCCATTCTACACAACCTTTAACATAGCTATATTTCACACCACTAGGTCAAACAAGAGTTCCCATTTACTGAGCTATTTGTATTGGATTTCCTGGGTTATATTCCTGCCAATAATAGCTCATTTTTTGCACTTACAGTTTCTTTAATGGAATTCAAGCTTTGACTGTGCACTCCTTACTTTTCAACAATTATCAAGAGCATAATTGTCCACTTCCTGGAAAGGTGGTGAGAGAGAAACTGAGTGTGTTGGGCCCATGGAGGTATCGCTCCCCCTTCCTACATCTTCAGCCATAAAATTCTGGGTGACAGGGTCCATGGCCAACCCTCTTGACTTATCACCGGTCAAGGTTCTTAATTGGTTAATGAATGGCCACTCAATTGACTCAAATCACTGATCTGCTTCCTACCTTTCCTGGCTGGTAATAAAGGGGAACGAGGGGAATCTGCCTGCCTATTTGGAGGGGTTAGGGGAGCTACAGGAGGCACAAATAGCAGGGAGGGGGAAGGCCTCTGAAACCCTGAAAGTGGCTGATTTTCCAACTGGGAAGCTGGGATAACTGGCCCGTTGGGTTGTGGGGGGAGGGTGCAATTTGCTCCAATCTGGGTCGAATTGGAAGTGAGAGAATGCTCGCTAAACATCACATCCCTGCCCTTGCCTCTCAGCCTCTGACCTGTCTCTCCCATTGACACCAGGAAGAAAAGCACATACCATCTCACTTTTTAAAACTCTAAACCTAGGTTCCCAGTGACTGATTGGCCAAAAGTTTCTGATGGTGTGACCTTCAGTATCGAAGCTCACGATTCACTAAGAGCTTTGGAATTTTGCTTATCCTGTCTCTATTCTTTTCCACCCATAAAATATGCATCAAACTTGTCTTCTGTCTGTGTTAATTGTGAGTACATTTGTTGGTATTTGGGGGTTTTAAAGGGGTATAGTTTAAGTCAATTAGTAATGGATCCTTTCTTTCTTTGTCATAGAGTCATGTGTAAAAGTTAGATGTGCTACAATAGTCAGAGGCATTTTCCATTAATGGTGAAGTCTGGTGTGAATAGCTATTGATCTGAATTGCAGTTATTCAGGCAAATTGATGCTTTGTTCTGAAGAGGGGTCACTGGACCCAAAACGTTAACTCTGCTTTCTCTCCACAGATGCTGCCAGACTTGCTGGGTTTTTTCCAACAATTTCTGTTTTTGTTGATGCTTTTGGTGGTCTCGTTGGGATTTTGTGCATTTTGGGATGGCTTGTGGAACAGTGAGACGTTGCTACTGGTGCAAAAAAAAACTTCCCAATTAAATCGTGACAAAAAGTACAAACTTTCAAACCATAGATTGTATCATTCAGTACAAAGTACTGAACTGTTCCACAATGACACAATGGGCAGAATCTTATGTTTTTGGATTGTGAGAGGTTGGGGGGAGGGGGGGGGGGGGGGGGGGGGGGGGCGGTGCGGGTGTTAACATCATTTCCACCTCCTGAGTTCTGACTGTCACTTTTCCTGCCTGGGAAATCATCTGAAAGACAGTCATTTAACAGGCTGGCTCTGTGTTTACAAGTGTCTGGGAAATTAGGGATGGTCAATAAATGCTTCCAGCGATGCCCCATAACTCGTGAACAATGTTTTAAAAAGTGTCCCTGAGGCTTCAGGCCCAATCAAAGGGCCTGCAATCTCAAAAAGGCCATGAGCTTTTATGGAGCGTTTCAGGTCAGGCTTTTTAAACAACTTTTTAAAGGTGTTCTGCGCTGAGAACGTTTGTTCACTACTTCTGTGACCAATGCATGTGCCTATGTATTAAGTTTTTTGGAAGGGATAATAGTTATAATTTCATATTTCAAATTGTTAGTGAGCTTTGCATCATTGTTAAATAAATATTTATTTTATAGTAAATTCTATTGTTTATTAAAGAAACCTGGATGACAGGTTATTTTTGTATTCTGAAACTAACGTAGATAATTGGCCATAAGAATAACTTGGTAAAACACTTACATTTATATTGTGACTAGGGGAGTAATGGAACTAGATAATGACAGTACACTCCTCCAGAGTTATTATAATAATGTCAAGGTCTACAGAGGTTCTGCATTAACCAGCATGGGAGTACAAATGCAGGACTCCAGGAAGATGGAATAGCTGCTTTGTTCTACTCCGAGTTGAGTATGCGAACAGGTCATTTGATAGAAACATTCAAAATCAGGAACAGCTGAGTAAACAAGGAGAAACAGCTTCCAGAGCGGCAGGAGAGTCGGTAACCAAAGGAGACAGATTTAATGTAATTGGCAAAAGAACCAGAGATATTGTGAGGAAGGATTACTTTCTCTACACAGCAAATGTTGTGATCAGGAATGAAAGCAGAGAGATGGATAAATTCATGAAAGGGAAGACAGTTATGTGGCTGTGGGGCAAGAAGACAGGAGTGGGATAAATTGGACAGCTCTACAAAGGAGCCAGCACTGACACGATGGACTAAATGGTCTCATTGTTCACGTTCCAATCTTGTGTCAATTGAATTTGTAGAGGTGCATGCTCTAGCCGGGGTTAAGCGCATTGGATGTTAGTCAGGCATGTATTTAAGAACAAATCTGATTTTCAAGACAGGTGGTCATTACTTCCCCATCCAACACTGTTCTGATTTAGCTCCTTTAGTTTCTCCTTTGTCGTCAGGGCACTTTTGCTTTTCAATTAAAAAAAAAATTGGTTTCCACTTATTAGCTGAGTTATTTGGAGAAGGGAAAGGTTCTCTGTACATCAGCAGCTGTGGACATTTCGAATAAGTGTATGTGGAGGACAAGCCAGCTCCTGCTTTGTCCTTTGCCACATAGATAATTCCCAGTTTTTTTATCCCTTCTGTGCTATGTCACTCAATTCTTAGACAATGGTTTAAAAACCAAAAGAACTGCGAATGCTGTAAATCAGGAACAAAAACAAAGTTGCTAGAAAAGCTCAGCAGGTCTGGCAACATCTGTGAAGGAGAAAACAGAGTTAACGTTTCGGGTCCGGTGACCCTTCCTCAGACAATGGTTATTGAGTTTTCAAACACAACCTTTCCTTTAACTGTTGCAACTGTTTGCATTTGGCTGATTGTAGTTGGCTTCCATCTGCTCATAGCAGATGGTGCCAATAATTAGCTGGAACAAAGGTTGACCCGGTGTCGCTGCTCTTCTGTCTTAGCAATGTTGAGTTTAATTTTCCTGTGAAGCATTTCAATCGAGGTGGTGAAACTGAATACAAGTGACAGAGAGGATCAAAGGGGTCATGTTGCGGCTGTAAAGGATAGTGGTTAGGCCATTTCTGAAATACTGTGTTCAGTTCTGATCTCCCTGCTACAGGAAAAGTGTTGTTAAACTTGGAAAGGTGTGGAAAAGATTTACAAGGATGTTGCCAGGGTTGGAGGGTTTGAGCTATAGGGTGAGGCTGAATAGGCTGGGGTTATTTACCCTGGAGGGTCGGAGGCTGAGGGGTGACCTTATGGAGGTTTATAAAATCATGAGGGGTATGGATACGATGAATAGCCAAGATCTTTTTACCAGGGTGGGGGAGTCCAAAACTAGAGGACACAGCTTTGAGGGGAAAGATTTAAAAAGGACCTGGCGGGTAACTTTTTTAATGCAGAGGGTGGTGCGTGTATGAAATGAACTGTCAGAGAAAGTGGTGGAGGCAAGTACAACTACAACATTTAAAAGGCTTCCCGAAGGGTATCTCAATGTGAAGGGCTCAGTTGGATACAGGCCAAATACTGGCAAATGGGACTAGATTAATTTATGATATCTGGTCGGCATGGACGAGTTGGACTGAAGGGTCTGTTTCCATGTTGTACATCTCTACGCCTCTACGAGAACAAAACTCACAAATAGAAATGAGTATGGCCAGAAGGACAACTCTGAAAGTTACATGGTGTTTAACAATCTGTGTCATTCCACTTCACAGCAAAAGAACTTCGAGATGTGTTGACCTGGTAAAGCATCACATATAGATTCAAGCATCCTCTTCAATTAGCATTTCGCTAAAGCACAGAACTGGAATTCTATTCATTTGAGACTTGAATGAACCCAGGAAGGAAGGAGTCTCTGGATCAAATGTTGTGGCTTTGGAGAGGCATTAGCATGAAAAACAGTGAGGGGAAAGTGAGCAAACCGATGTCATACAGTTGAATTGGCAGAAAAGGCAGCCATTTTGCCCACTGAATCCATGCCAACTCTCTGTCAAGCAATTCCATCAGTCCCACTGTAGATGATCTATGATTTCATTTTATGGCATGTAGGCATCACTATCAAGGCCAGTATTTATTGCCATCCTGATTGCCCTTGAATTGATTGGCTTTTTCAGAGGGCAGTTAAGAGTCAACCATTTTGCTATGGGTCTAGAGTCATGGAGTCACATAGCATGGATACAGATGCTTCAGTCCAACCAGTCCTTGCTGATCATGTTCCCAAACTAAACTAGTCCCACCTGCCTGCGCTTGGCCCATATCCCTCCAAACCTTTCTCATTCATGAACTTATCAAAATGTGTTTTAAATGTTGTAACTGTACCTGCATCCAACACTTTCTCTGGCAGTTCATTCCACACGAACCACTCTCTGTGTAAAAAGGTTGCCCCTCATGTCCATTCTAAATCTTCTCTCACCTTAAAAATATGACCCCTAGTTTTGAATTTCCCCACCTTAGGGAAAAGACCCTTATCATTCGGCTTATCTATGCCCCTCACTATTTTATAAACCTCAATAAGGTCACCCCTCAGCCTCCTACACTCCAGTGAAAAAAGTCCCAGTCTTTCCAGTCTATTTTCATTTCTCAAACCCTCCATTCCCGGCAACATCCTGGTAAATCTTTTCTGAACCTTCTCCAGTTTAATAATATCCTTCCTATAACAGGGTGACCAGAACCGCACGCTTTACTCCAGAAGAGGTCTCACCAATGTCCAGTACAACCTCAA